AGGGTTTCTCTGTAGCTTTTTGGTTCCTGTCCTGGAACTAGCTCTTGTAGACCAGGAGGGTTTCTCTGTAGCTTTTTGGTTCCTGTCCTGGAACTAGCTCTTGTAGACCAGGCTGGTCTCGAACTCCCAGAGATCCGCATGCCTCTGCCTCCTGAGTGCTGGGATTAAAGGCGTGCGCCACCACCACCCGGCTACAGCTGACCTTTGCATTCTGCTCATACACCACAGCACACACATCCACATGCAAATTCATTAATTAATTTTAACTAAAGCATTGCCAACTGGCTTATTTTCTTCAAAATGTGTATTTCTTACTAATGTAACACAAAATTATGTATGAAATGCATTGCTTTGTCCCAGAACTTCTAGTTTCAGTATTAATCCTCAGGACACCTCCTGGTGTGCAAGGAGAGGGATAAAACACAAGATATTCTTTCTTGCAATATTAATAACTACAAAAAATTAGCAAACCAAGTGTTTATTGTTGAGGAATGTTTAAATGTTCCCCAGTTATGATTTCCAACTGGGGATTCTTGCCAATTATCATTTTTACTGCAGCAATTCAGGTGGAAGAAGACTAGGCAGTCTCTACCTAGGCATTTGGTATATTACAGCCGACAAAACTAAGCTTCATGCCATTTCTCTCAAAACACTAGTAGGTTTCTACAAGAAGTGTTAATGCTAAGCAGTCATATAAAGGAACGTCTTAGAGCAGATGGTGCACACTTTTAATCCCAGCACAGTGGATATGGGCAGAAGAATCTCTGTGAGCTCCAGGTCAGCCTAGTTCACATAGCAAATTCAGTGGAACCCTGTCTCAGAAAAGGGCGGGGCGAGATGTGCTAGTGACATAAAAAATATCCAGGCATAGTGTTACAAAACAGTATTTTTATATAATTCTACCTTTATTAAAAATAAAGTTATAGCAGGGTGGTGGTGATGCATACCTTTAACCCCAGCACTCATGAGGCAGGGGCAGGCGGATCTCTGTGAGTTTGAGGCCAGCTTGGTCTACAGAGCTAGTTTCAGAACAGCCACGACTGTTACATGGAAAAACCTTGTCTTGAAAAACAAAAACAAACAAACAAAAAGAATTAGTAGTATATATTAGTAATAAATGTCAGAGAAAGTAAATTTTTTTTTTAGAATAAAGTGTACCAAGCTACTAATAATTAACTTTAGGAAACACAGTTATAGTGAATGTTTGTTTTCTACGGTATATATTATACATTGTACTTTTTAGGCACCAAAAGCCATAGAGAAAAAGAAATTGCCCACTATGAAAGGTTTTTCTTATTTAAATGTAATATTTTTGGTAATTAGATAATTTTTTTTTTTTTGATTTTTCAAGACAGGGTTTCTCCGTAGCTTTTGGTTCCTGTCCTGGAATTAGCTCTTGTAAACCAGGCTGGCCTCAAACTCACAGAGATCCGCCTGCCTCTGCCTCCCAAGTGCTGGGATTAAAGGCGTGCGCCACCACTGCCCGGCTGGTAATTAGATAATTTTATACATGAGTTCAATGTACTTCAATCATTTACCACCTGCTCCTTCCTGGTCTAACTCCCACCCCTACTTGCTCTAGCTTAGTTTGCTTTCTGTGTTATGATAAACACCACAACCAAAAACAAGTTGGGGAGGAAAAGAGTTTATTTAAGTTATACTTCCAGGTCATTGTCATCATTGAAGGAAGCCAGTACAGGAATCTGTAGGCAAGAACTGATGGAGCAGGGAGCCATCAGGGAGGAATGCTGTTTTCTGGCTTGCTCCCCAGAGCTTGCTCAGTTTGCTTTTTTGTATAGCCCAGGAAAACTTGCCCAGGGATGTCACTACCTACAGAGGCCTGGGCCCTCCAACATTAGTCATTAATGAAGAAAGTGCCCCCAATGACTTGCCTACAGACCAATCTTATGGAAATACTTTCTCTGTTGAGATTCCTTCTTTCTAGATGACTATAGCTTGTGTTGTTGACAACAGCAAAAAAAACCAGCACACCCTTCCAAATTCACGGTCTTTATTTTTTGGTATTTTTTATAGCCTATGGTTCTAGTTTATAATGACCATGTATCATTGGATATGAGACTATCCACTTACAACATGGACAGCCTACTAGAGTTAACACCCTTGAAAAAGATTGACTCTCACCCACAGAAGCCAGCAGCTGTCAATATTTCTTCAGCTAGGGGTGGGGGCTCCTAAGCCTCCTCCTACTCAGTGCTGAAACGTTGCTGTCCTCATCTTTGGGGGCACACACAGCTGCTTTGAGCTCATGAATGCAGTGATTTTGTCATGTCCAGAAGTCACTCTTGCTCCTGTCCTCCCAGCCTCTAGCTTTGCACTCTTTCTGCCTACTCTGCTACCATGATTCCTGAGCCTTGGCGAAAGGAAGTATGATATTCATGTGTGAACACTGTACATACACTTACTCTCTGCACATAAAGCCCATTGCTTCTCTAGTGAGTTCTGACAGTGAAAAAGTCTATAGGTACAGAGATTCAAATTTAGAGGGCAGTTTGATACTATATCCATTTAGCAAAATATTAGTAGTAGGTTCATCCCTGGGGCCCATGAACTCCTCACCCATGCATGGGTCCTTGACCAGATATACAGTACCAAGCATGTGTTTGCCTTTTGTAGAGTGCTTCTTAAATCCAATCATAAAGCAGTTATACCCATAACAGATAGCACACTAATGAACCCATGGGCAAATCTTAACATGCTGGTCATGACTGTAGCTCACAGGGCTCATAGCTGAATTAGCTTATTGATGATTTTCTCGTCCCCACAGCAGCAGTCACAGCACCTTCTGATACTTTGAAAGACCGCCGATAATGAGTAACTTTCAGTTACACTTTATCCATTTGTTGAAATATCATATTATAGATATTGTTGTGATCAGGATCATTTTGTTGTTTAAATTTCTAGAAGAAGACTTTAAATGACAAGTCATTCTTTCTATTGTTTAACATAAACCACTTTGAAGATGAAAACTCTGTGCTGTCTTTAGGATCCACATGTTGACTGTTACACAATATCATCTATCAAGAGTACGCTGGGCTTGGATCGCGATGCCCTTGTTGGACTGGCAGTACTTCTTGGCTGTGATTATCTTCCAAAGGCAAGCTGAGCTTATCATTTCTTTCTCAATATTTTCACATGGTGTGTGTGTGTGTGTGTGTGTGTGTGTGTGTGTGTGTGTGTGTGTGCGTGCGCATGCATTCAGGTGTGTGTGTACATAGTATGTGTATATAATTAAGTATAAGACATTGACTCTCAGAAATAATCAGCAGGACTGATGAGATGATTCACAGGAGAAAACACTGCTATGCAAGTGTTACAGCCTGAGTTCTGTGCCTGAGATACACATAAAGGTGAAAGGGGGAAAAACAAGTACACAGAATTGTCTTCTGACCTTCCACAGGAGCCATGGCACAGATGCTCATACACATCATGCACACACGCATGCACACACACACATACACAATAATAAGTAATAAATCAAAACAATCAGCATCTCAGATAATTTTATAAAAAGCTACTTTGTAACAATAAACATTACAAAGGTGAGTTCAGTAAGTGTTCCCATGGTTTCAGCCTCAAAGAGATTGACATGTATGTTTGAGCAACCTCTCAAAGAAGTTTAAGAGTTCCTCTTTTGTTTGATAGCAGTGCTGGCTTCTACTATGGCTTTACCTATTTTTTAGCTCTGTGTTCGTCATAGCTGTCTAGCTGCACACATGTGCAATGCTGTTGTCGCTGCTGTAGAGAGCATCATTACTGAGGTAATCCATTCATGGCTCCCAACACTGTATCACATTTTCTTCATAAGGATAAGGATTAGGAAGATAACTGTTTCTTAAATACCCTGTGTAAAAAGCAGAGATAACTATTATACCTCTATATGCATCCCATCACTCCAGATTAACATTTAAGTTTCTTTCTCCACTTTATGAAAGGGAGTGCCTGGATTTGGAAAAGAACAAGCGTTAAAACTTCTGCGGATTTTGAAAGGTCAAAGTTTGCTTCAGAGGTAACTCAGTGTTGCTTTTTACTCCACATTGGACACTTATTCTTGTTGGACTTAGCAGTAAGTTTACAGAAACGATTACTTTTGAAATACTCTGTGTTTTCATTTTTGGTGATTAATTCCTACTTATCTTGAACTCTTCCAGAAGAAGAAAATGAATATGTTTGAAGCATGCTATTAAGTGTAATGATCTGTCCAGTCCCTTTAAGAGACAAGGGCCCACCACTCCCTCTCCCCCACCCCCCCTTATCCCACAGGCAGACCTTCCTGCTTGCAGCCCAAGCCTCTTCCTTTCCATCTCTCCCCTAAGAGGTAGCTGCTGCTGTGGCTCCTCCTGCCCCCCCATTCTCACTCTCTCTCTCTCTCTCTCTGCCTCTCTCTGTTCTTCTCCCTTCTCTCCTTCCCTCTTTTCCCTTCCCTTCCATAACCCACTAAATAAATATCCAACCTTACTTTGCATGGCATGCCTATCCGTCTTGGTCTCTCACCCACCATGCGGCTCCATGCAGGAACCACTGGCCCTCATGACCTGCGGGCCACTCGGGGGCTCCCTTCCTTGGACCTGGCTGCCTTCATGGCCTGCTGTGGTCTCGGGACCTGATGTCTACTGCCTGCTGCCACTTGTGGACCTGCGGCGTGCTCTCATGGCCCACTGCCCACTGCCACTACTCAGGGACAGCACAGCGTTTTCATTTAAACCATAACATTAAGTATGTACTTTTGCTTCACCACACATAGTATAGATATAGTAACTTATAGCCATGGACATTTTTCCATAGGTTGTTTTAGACAATTAGCATCAAGTAAAGATGAAAACATTAAAATAATTTTGTATGTAATGCTTTGATAATATATTTAATTTCTACAAATGAAGTACTACATAGCATGTTAAAAATATTTAATAAGTAACTTTGGATAAACAACTTTTACTTTGGGCCAACAACATGACTCAGCAAGTGTTAGCAGTCACAGTGCAAGCCTGACCACCTGGGTTCATTTGATTGCTAGACTCCATGATGAGAGGAGAGAACTGATACCTGAGAGTTGTCGTCTCACTGCCATACACACGCCTGTCTGCACACGTGTATGTGTACACCAGCACAAGTCCACACCAGCATGTACACACACACACTGTATAGGTATGCATATGCACAATACTACAATAAGTAAAACTTAATATTAAAAACTTCAGCTTTGTTGTGTGTCTTGCTGTTATATATTTAGTAATATATTCTAATTTGAGCTCTACAGATGATGGTCTAATTAAGATATAGATTATATTGAAATTTGCAAACTACTTAAATTCTCTTAAAACTTGTGAATTACGCCGGGCGGTGGTGGCGCACGCCTTTAATCCCAGCACTGGGAGGCAGAGGCAGGCGGATCTCTGTGAGTTCGAGGCCTGTCTGGTCTACAAGAGCTAGTTCCAGGACAGGCACCAAAGCTACAGAGAAACCCTGTCTCAAAAAAAAAAAACAAAAAACAAAAAAAAAATTAAAAAAAAAACTTGTGAATTACATATGCCTGATGAAAGCAATAGTTTATAAAAATTAAGATTAATGACAGTAAGCTATAAAATAAGAAAGAAATGAAACCTGGGAAGCTGAACATAGTCTTGACCAACCCTTAGTAGGTCTGAGGTACTGTATTTCTCAAAAGAAAAGGTAGCAGAGGTGAAGAAATGACTGACAAATCTTTCAAATTTCTGTACCCTGTCTTACAATGCTTTTCTTTTAGCTATAAAGCTGTTGGTATAGCGAAGTCTTCATTAAGTTGCTGGAGGACCTGTGTGATTATTTTGCCAAAACAGAGAAGAAATGGTATAATTTGACATGGCAATAAATAAAGGAACTCTCAGATTTGTTTTTGCCATGAAATAAAGAATGAGACACAAGTAAATATGGTATTTATCTGACTCTGAGCTACTCTTGTTAAAATAGTGTCAGCAAATAGGTATTTTTTGACAACATTTAAACATGGTATTTATACTTGAAAATGATCAGAATTTTTTATAATTACCCATTCTCATTTTGATAATTTATAGTATTTTCCCTATTTTTTAATCTTTGAAGTTCTATCATTTATCCAGAAGCTATTAATACTGATTTTTAGAACACTACTTTAGAATACTTTAGTTATTCTTGATAGTAAATGAGTTAGAATTTCCAATTGTTATTTATTTACCTCAGTACTACACATTACCCTGAAAACTCAATGTTTTATGAGTAGCATCTAGGTCTTCTTGAAAGAGTTATGTTAACTTGAAACTTTAGGCAAAACCAAAAATTTTATTACTCAAAATTTTAACAGTTGCATACATTTCTTAAAACCTTGCATTAAACAGAAATGTTTTGCCATTTGTATGCAACAAATTAAGAAAAGGAAACTTGTAATGGTAAAAATGAAATGCCATGGATCCCTGAGTGACTGCGGTGGGAGCAGGCCATGAGACCATGCTGCAGGCCCCCCGAGCTGGGGTTGGTAGTGGACCCCAGAGCAGCCAGTCCCAGGCAGGGATGGCACACAAGATCACGCCACAGGTCTCCAAAGACAGCTAGTCCTGGGTGGCAGGGGAGAGACAGATGGATAGGCATGCCATGCAGAGTGAGGTTGGATATTTATTTAGTGGGTTATGGAAGGGAAGGGGAGAAGAGCAGAAAGAGAGAGAAAGAGAATGGGGGACCGAAGGGGGAAGAGAAGTGGGGAGAGGCAGAAGCTGCCTCTTCGAGAGGGAGATGGAAAAGAAAAGGCTCAGGCTGGAAGCTGAAGATCAGTTTGCCTCAGTGGATGGCGGGGGAGTGGGGGGGGTCTCTTAAAGACACAGGACAGACCATTACAAAGTTGATTAGCATTTTAAATTATTTATTAAAATTTTATCCAAAAACTTAATGTTTTATTTCTACAGACACATTACTCTTTATCTTTATTTCCATTTAAAAATAGTGACCGTACATCTAAGTCTGCCTGTTCTATACTCTGGCACATGGTAACAATATGGGAAGGGACAAATATAAATTATTCTCCCCATATATTGCTGCCTAACAAACTCCTCAAGCAGGAACAAAAAGGCTGATGACAGTGATTAGATATACATCTGCACAGACATGCACATATGCACACTCTGCTTCCCTTTGCAATTCTTCTCTACCTGGGACCACATGTAAAGCTTATAGAAAATAGCATTTTTCCAGGCTATGCAAGTGGGTTTATGAGCAGCAAGGAGAAAATAATTTGATAGATTGAAGGGAATAGGATAAACTGACATTTGAGAACATTCTTTATTACCTTATTTTTTTCTGTTTTTAATTTTTAACCCATTTTCTAATAAAGGTTTAACCAGTGGATTGAAGAACCTTGCTCCTCTGCTCCACAAAGCGTGGCTCACTGCTCTGTGTGCTCCCATCCAGGTAAGCAGGCTTAGGACACTCCTCCAGAGCATTGGAGTCTGAGTCTTCATTCACAGTCCTGCTCCTCATACTTCTGGAGGGCAACCCAGTGAATACTGAATCTGCCCATGTTTAGTTTTCATATGCTTTATATACCCCAAACCTAAAGAGGAGAAAAAGCCAAAAGACTTGTTTACCATGATACAAAGAATAGAGTAATTACCTCTTCAATACCTGAAACAGCAAGTCACTATCCTGAGTTAAGTATTCAGTTGTTTAGGGAGGACAAGCAAGGACCACATCTTAGGCCAAGCTTCCTGTGGGCAGCCACTTGCTGGATCCTCCCATCGTAACTTGGAGGATAAAGAATAGGCCTGAACACTTTGACCTTTGGTCAACTAGAAGGGATTCAAGGGGCTCTGGCACTGACTCAACAACAACAAACAAAACCAAAAGGTATCCCTGAATGTGGTTCCTTTCACCCACACCTGAGCTGCAGTCTTCCTTCTCCAACTATAGTTTAAAACAGCCCTGAGTAACTGAGACATACACACTGACAATGGACACAACGTGGGCAGCCTTTTCAATAAAGAAACCATTTCAAGAATTATTAAGGGAATAATCTTTCCTACTAATAATTACGTTCTACTTTCCTACATTATAGCTACTATAAACCAGAAGTGTTCTATTATTGAACATAAATTAATTAGTACTTCAAATAAATGAGTATGCTATGAGCAATATCATGATAGTAAGTTATAATTTGTCCTCAGAACCACTCTGGTGTACATTATTCTTTCAACCAGCTGTGCAGATAATAGTAATTTTGAGATTTTAGATAACGAGAGAAAAAAAGGTATATGTTGAAACTCATTCTGCAAAGCAGTAAAAGTCACACATCTTTGTGTCTCCAAAAAGGTTCGCGTAAGGATCATGAACGTAACGGATGCGCGTTATGTAACAGTGACAGATACTGTGAACCACACGATTATGAATACCGCTGTCCCTGTGAATGGCACCAGACAAACCATAGTAGGCAACTAAATGAAATAGAAAACAATATTAAAAAGTAAGTTGTTTTGAGCCACTTAATGCTTTTTGTATGACTTGTATAGAATCTGAGGTTGATTTACTTCCCCCACATGTCTAGATTAATCATGCCTCACACACTGTGTTGTCGATTCTGTTAAGACAAGTTTCATCCATCTAGACCAGTCACAGTGGCACACACCTTTAATCCCAGCACTTGGGAGGCAGAGAAACCAGCTAGTCTACATAGCACGCTCCTGGCCAGCCAGAGTTACATAGTGAGACTCTGTCTCAGGAAAACCAAAGGGGGAAATCATCCATCGAAGGAGCTGACGAGATGGCTTAGCAGGTAAAGGTGGTGCTGCTATGCCAGTGGCCTGAGTTTAGTCACCAGAACATACATGGTAGAGGAGAGAACCTGCTTCCGCCACACGTGTGCTGTTCACTTTTGCCTACACAAACTCACACACACACATAAATAAATATTACAAAAAATAAAGATAAAATTCATCTGAGAAGGTAGCAGTTTAATAGTTTTCCAGAGAAAGGCTTGGAAATTGTATATAAGATATTGTACTTGGGTATTTGTTATAAAACGAGATTGGATGAGATTTCAGTCTGTCTAATTCTTTGATGGTCTTTATAATATGTGTGATTTATCTCCAGGAAAGCTTGCAGTTGCAAAGGATTTCCATTCCATGAGGTAATAATAATCCAATTATATATTTATTTTTAAGTAAAATAAAGAATAAATAAAAATAATAATAAAAGATATTTTGAAGTTCTCATTCCTGTTTTTTTGTTGTTGTTGTTTTTGTTTTTTTACACTTAGGTCATCCAAGAATTCCTTTTGAATAAGGATAAAATGTTAAAACCCCTCAGTTATGAAAGACCTGATTTATTATTGTTTCAGGTATCTGAAAATAAATTCTTACTTAATATTAAAATTAGGCTGGGTGGTGGTGGTGGTGCACACTTTTAATCCTAGCACTCAAGAGGCAGAGATAGGCAGATCTCCGTGAGTTTGAGGCCAACCTGGTCTATACAGCAAGTTCCAGGACAGGTTTCAAAGCTACAAAGAAACCTTGTCTCGAAAAAAAATAGTAAAGTTAGATATGAGGAAGATCGGAAGGATACTAACTACAGTGTATAAGAGGAGACTTCAAAACTAAGACAGATAGCTATTGACTGTCCCTATATTCTTCAGCATCTGTTTATAACCTTTACCCCTTAGCTATGCTAGGTCCATACTTCCCAGACCATAAGGCAAACACAAGCTGCTTCTCAGAAGATTCTCAGTCACCATGTATAGACATATTGATTCCAGGAATATATCTGGGAAAGAAGGGCTTGGGACAAGGAGTGCTATTGTCAAATATACTATATAACCCTAAATGTGAAATATCCTTAAAATAGAAATAATATTACCACCTCATCAAGTCACCATGAGGATTAAATGAGAGTATTTTAACCCCTGATGTTGTACTTAGAGGGAAAGGATGGCTGAGTAAATCTAGTTTCACTCTATCTCGTTGACAACTGTAATACATAATGAATTAAGTATTTTCCCACTTAATCTACATAACCTGTCAACAGGGTTACCTTCTCTTCACTTAAAAATAGAAAAATGGCCTAAAAGGTCAAGGCACTTCACCCACCATATTGGACATAAGCTGGCCATCTGAATAGAGAATCTTCTCAACCACATTATTCTTTCATTGTCCCTAGGGAGCTCTTTTTTTAGGGAATATTCTCATTAATACTATATTAGCATTACTCTTAGAGAAAAGATAATGTTATCTGAGAGTATTTCTTGTTTGAAAAGTTTTAATATTTATTTTTACTGTATTTATAGAGATTTACTGCTCAAAAAATGGAGTGGCCCAGTCACTATGCATGTGAGAAATTGTTGGTGCTTTTGACCCGCTATGACATGACAGAAAGAAAACTTGGAAGAAAAACCTCTAGTCAACTACAGCCAATCAGGTAATGTAGTTTAAGGAGCTGTATGGTTGGGGCTAGAAAGATGGCTTGGCAGTTAAGAGCAATTGTTACTCTGGCAGGGGACCCGGGTTTGCTTCCCAGCACCCATCTGGTAGCTCACAACCATCTGTGACTTCATTTCCAGGGGATCTGATGCCCTTTTCTGACTTCTGATGCATTGTACATGCTTGTTGTGCACAAAAATACATGCATGTAAAAATATACGTACATGTAAAATAAATTTTAAAAAATTATTTTTAAACTATTAAAAAAGGAATTTTGTAATAAAGACTGTTTCCACTTGAATACTTGACTGGAAGTATTAATATTTCTCCCCGAGTATATACTAGTTGTTTTCCAAAGGTAGAGGAAAGCCTGAAAATTAAAAGCATAGTCAGGCCTCACACTCAAGACAACATAGGTATTAACATACTTTCAACTTCTTTTTTTTTTTTTTTTTTCTTTTGAGACAGGGTTTCTCGGTAGCTTTTTGGTTCCTGTCCTGGAACTAGCTCTTGTAGACCAGGCTGGTCTCGAACTCCCAGAGATCCGCATGCCTCTGCCTCCCGAGTGCTGGGATTAAAGGCGTGCACCGGGCTAGAAAGATGGCTCAGCGGTTAGGAGCATTGCTTGCTCTTCCAGAGGTCCTGAGTTCAATTCCCAGCAACAATATGGTGGCTCACAACCATCTGTAATGAGGTCTGGTGCCCTCTTCTGGCCTGCAGGCATACATGCAGACAGAATATTGTATACAAAATAAATAAATATTTTTAAAAAAAAAAGGTGTGCGCCACCACCGCCCGGCCATACTTTCAACTTCTAATGCATGCTACTTAAAAAGTATAAAAATGTACACAAAATATAAAAAGAACAGGGCTTAACGAAGAGCTCTTTCAGTGAACCAAAGAAAACAAAATGATGGAGTAATATAGAATAGTATTTTAAACTATAAGAAGTATAGATCAAAACACAAAGTGAAGCCAGAGGAAGATGTGAACTCAAAATTGGTCATTAATTTTATGAACTGGGTGAAATTATTCACCTGCATAATTATACTCACATAATTTTAATGATTAATAAATGTCAAACTAAAACCCTTCATTTTGGATTGTATTCTAAGTGTTAGTCTTAAATCATTAAATACATATTTTGAGAGTGTTATTTCTATTTGTTGTGTATTGGCATGTTTTTTTTACTAGAAAAACAATATCTGACTTTCAAACAATTACAGTAAAAGTAAGAAATAAACTATCAAACTAAGAGTATATAGGAAGGAGGAAGTGAGAAGCAAAGAAAAACATTGCTAACAGGAAACATAAAATTTATGAATGAGTTCAACTCTCACTAGTCCTAATAAACGTAAGTGGGTTAAATTTATCTATTAAAATGCATATTGCATTGAATATGGCGCATGCCTTTAATCCCAGCACTTGGGAGGCAGAGGCAGGCGGATCTCTGTGAGTTCGAGACCAGCCTGGTCTAAGAGCTAGTTCCAGGACAGGCTCCAAAAGCCAGAGAAACCCTGTCTCGAAAAAACAAAAAATAAATAAATAAATAAAATGCATATTGCATTGAATAAGTAATGATAACAATTTTCATAAGAAAATTCTAAATAAGTATACAAAGTTCAAAAACAAAGATTTAAGATTTAATAAGAAAGTACAAAAATACTGTAACATAGTAGAATTTCCAAGAGAAATGGAAAAAGCAGTCCTACACAATAATGACAAAATATTGAGGGACTAGAGAGATGGCTCAGAGGTTAAAAGCACTTGTTACTCTTGCAAAGGACCTGAGCTTAATTTTCAGAACCAACATGGTAGTTCACAGCCATCTGTCAGTGCAGTTCCAAGACATCTCAGTCCATCTTCTGACCTCGATGGACATCAGGCATGCAGCTGCTGCACCTACATACATGCATATAAAACACTCACAAATAAAATAATAAATGCAATGAAAACATATGTATATATATTGAGTTAATCTAACAATTTTCAACTCTGCCTCACAATGAAATTCAACAGAGTCCAAAGAATCTAGGCATTGATTCCTTATATCTATACTTAGAATAAATATGGATGGAAATTGAAGTGTATAAATTAAAATTTTATAAATAGCTTGTACAGTTAGACCTCAGTATATAAATTTATTTTTCAGAGTTGTTAAGCCCCGAATCAGAAATGGAGTTCGTTGCCTTGAAATAGAATGGGAAAAGCCTGGTATGTATTCATTATACACAGAATGTCTAATCTACGGTGTTTGATCCAAATGTGAAATAGAGAGTGAATGTTTAGAAAGCATACATGCTTGTGAAAAGTCATGAAAAGTATCACATGTACTATGAACTATGTTTTATTTTACCTATTTTAAATAGATCTTGACTAATCAAGGTGATAAACCTCAAGTGCCTTTAATTTTAATGTCTTTGACATTAATTTTGGAAATGTTGTGATTCAAATTTCTCTAAAAATTGCTTCCACAAGTGCTCTGTCTTTGGACTATCATAGTTAGATGTTTCTAAAGCAATTGAGGTGAGAGAGTTGTAAGAATATTTCCTCCCTTTCCTTTATCCTTTTTAGTTCCTGTAGTAATTTGTACTTTTGCTACAATGTAAAAATTATGAAAGACCTGGCTAAGCTTCCAAGCTAGAGGCAATAGACATGACTCGAGATTCATGGAGTTTTATTCCATCCTTTTGTGTGCAGGTACCTGTGGGGGAGGGGGGGAGCACACATGGGCATGCTATGGTGTACCTGTGGAGGTTGGAGAAAAATTTGCAGGATTCAGTTTTCTGCTATCTCATTTTAATAAATAACAAAATATAAAATGACATACAAGCATAAAAGTTCACAGACTTTACCAACTCAAACGCTTTCAAAGTTTCATCTCTTTAAAAATAAATCCAACTTCTCTTTTAAAATTTCAAGTCTCTGGAAAACTACAAAATCTCTTTAAAAATCCAAAGTCTCTCAACTGTGGGCTCCTGTAAAATTAAAATAAGTTAAATACTTCCTTACTCTATCAGGGAAAAGCCAGGGACAGTCATGGTTAGGTTAAAGCAAAACCAAAGTCCAGCAGTTCAGGGTTTAGTGTCACACTTTGGGACCCACTCATGATATTCTGGGCTCCCCTAACGTGCTTTCACAGCCCACGGCACACACAGCTTGTCTCCTAGGCTCCAGCCGGCTCCACATCCCAGCTGCTGCTGCGCAGGGCAGTCCTTCCACAGTACTCGGGTTTCCTACACTCTGACCAGTGGCCTTTCCTGGACTCTCTTCATGGTATCATGACCCCTTCAGTTCTGGGCCTTCAACTGCTACTAAGGCTGCACCTTTGTTCTCTTTTGGCTTCTCAAAGTGCCAAGTATCAGCATCTCTCCATGACCACCCCTTCATGCCTTCAAAACCACCTAGAGACTAATACACATGACCAACACCAGCTGCCCACACAAGGAACAACCATGGCTACCTCTGGAACTCAGACTATGTGTGTTGGCCCCAAAGAAATACTTCTCGAAAGATCTTACTCTATGATTCTCTTTTCTTTATCACCACTGATTTCTCATCCCCAGCTAAGCAGCATCAATTTTCCCAGTAATACAAAGGTTTCACTTCAGGGGTACTGGTCTCTTATTAATCTCAGCTAATTTTTTGGTCCCAAGTAACCAGAACCATGGATTTTTAGTTCAAAATAGCACATGGCCCCCAGAGAGTTTTTAAGGAACTCTCAGATTTCCCTCTGTAACTACAGAAGCCAAGCCTCCATCCTCTGCAGCTTTCAGCATTCTTATCTTCTAAGCTCCTACAGGACAGCCCAGAGCTTAGCCAGACTTCTAGAGTCCTTCCACATCCTCACCAAAACAGTGTGGTGGTCAGATCCGTCAAAGCAATACCTTATATCCTCTTTATAAGTCTTTTTTCTTTTTTCTAACTCACTTACAAACTACTGTTTCCTTATGTCATTTTCATACATACTATGTTTTCTGGTTCACATAGGGACATTCTCCCTTCTCCAAATCCCCATTTATACTGTTCCACCTCCAATATTACCCTTTTTGCTTTCATATTATGTGTTCAGTTGCCCTCCCACCTGACTTCCTTAAAGCCTTTCCCCCTCTGCCATAGGCCCCTGTAGAGTACAAATTAGAACCACTTTCAGATTCAGTGTAATCCCAGTCAGAAGCAAGCAAATCACAACAAATGCTGGTGAGAATGTGGAAAAAGATAAATCCTTTATTGACTGTTGGTAGAAGTGTAAATTAGTACAGTCACTGTATAAATTAGTACAGAGGTTTCTCAAAGAAATTAGGGGGAAATAAACTAAACAGGACCCAGCTATATCAACCCTAGGCAAATTCTCAGAGGACTGCACTTCCAGAGAGATACTTACACGCACGTATTTACTGACGCTGCATTCACATGAGAAAGGAAACAGACTAAATGTCTATAAGGAAATGACTAGATAATGAGAAAATTTAGTACATGTACACTATAGAATTTTATTCAGCCTTAAGGAAGAATAAAGTTATGAAATTTGCAGGAAAACAGATGGAAGTAGAAAACAGTGAGGCATTCAAGACCAGGCCTGAGAATATGGAGGTGTAGCTTGCCTGGTACACAGGAAACTCTTTGTCCTAGGAAATTGTTTATCCCATTCCTTGTCTCTAATTTTAGCATTTTATCTAAAGAAAGTTTTCTGTTCTCTCAACTGACATTACTATTTCTGAAACAAGAGAATTTAAAGTTTGAATGTTAAAAAGAAATCTCCCTTTTAGCTCTCCTAGGAAAAGAAAATAAAATCAGTTTAAAAAGCAATAACAGACTGGAGAGATGGCTCAGAGGTTAAGAGCATTGGCTGCTCTTCCAGAGGTCCTGTGTTCAATTCTCAGCAACCACATGGTGGCTCACAACCATCTATAATGAGATCTGGTGCCCTCTTCTGGATGCAGGCAGAACACTGTATATATAATAAATAAATAAAATTTTAAAAGAAGACCTGTTATAAGCAAAAAGCAGCAACCACAAATACCCGAGGGTAGGAGGGAGAAAAGAGCTATCCAGTAAATGTGATAAGGTGGGTGTAGTAAGTGACCGGGACTCATTCTATGCCTGTATATAATTATCAGAAATAACAAACCAAGAAGTGGCCATGTTGTAGAGCAAGATTTGTAGTGAATTGCCTGCTCATATTTGGACAGTGTTGTTTTCCTGATAACTACTTGGAAAACAGTTTTTAAACCTTTTTGTTGTTGTTGTTGTTTTGTTTCATTTGGTTGGTTGGTTGGTTGGTTGGTTGGTTGCTGGGATTAAAGGTGTGTGCCACCACTGCCCAGCTTCAGTTCATAAACCTCTAGTTGTCTACTTTGCTGTATTTTTAATCTTCTAGAACATTATGCAGTGGAAGACACAGAGGCTGGGGAACTGGGTCCCCTTACCATCGAAGACGCATCACTGTTTGAAGCAGCCTATCCTGAGGTTGTTGCTGTCTACCAGAAACAACAGTCAGAAACCCAAAGGAAGAAACAGAAGAGTAAGTGTTGTGCAGCTTGTGCTGGGCACCAGCATTGTGTAAACCAAGAGTAAGGGCCAAGCTCTTGCTTCTGTAGCACACCAATGTAACATGGAGGGTCCTGTTTCTTGTTGGGGTTTTCTGTTCCCCCACCAGGTCCCCCACAACTGTTTAGCCCCAAAGAAAATCACTCATAGGTCTCCATAAATTATAAGCTGGTTGGCCCATTAGCTCTAGCCTCTCACTGGCTAACTCTTACATCTTGATTAACCCATTTTTCTGATCTGTGTTAGCCATGTGGCTCAGTACCTTTTTCAGTGGAGCAGATCACAGCCTGCTGCTTCGGTGGTCTGGGCAGGAGTGGGAAGAATAAACTTCCTCCTTCCCAGAATTCTCCTGTTCTCATTACATCATTTCTGCTTCCTGTCTGGTTTTCCCGCCTATATTTCCTACCTGGCCAATCAGCATTTATTTATAACATGATTGACAGAATACAGACAATTCTCCCGCACACCAGTATTGTAGAAACTAAGAGTAGGGGCCATGCTCTTGCTTCTGCTTCTTTATATGCTTTATTTCCCCATGCTGCCTTGCTAACGACCACACCCTAGGACCTTCCAGACACCAGCCAAGTGTGCTTCCACTGCATTTCGTATCAAGCCTTATACACTTCCTTTTAAAACTAAAATGTTGGGAGTCCACCAGCATGCTCTTTGTTTACTAACTTGGATAAGTTAAATACAGAATAATTGTGCGCTGTAACATTAATGCTAATCAGCTTTAGAACAGCTCCTGCAAATAGATCTTGTGTTATAAGTGCATTTTCTTTATTCCTCAGAATCCAGTGAGGGAAGTAATTCAATAATGACATTTCCCAGAGAAAACTAATAGTGTTTCCAGGAATGTACCGGGTACTGGGTGGAGATGGGGGAAAAAAAACTTACATAAATTACAGGTTTAACTCTTTGGTTTAGGGTATTGTTTTTATTTTTGCTTGCTTGAGTCTTTTTTTTTTCCCCAAGTTAAGGAAAGGAGTATTTATTCTATGTTTTTCCTTCTTTTCAGGTGTGAAAGTTAAGCCTAAAGGAAACAGTTTACCAGAACTGAATAGTGTAGTCAGTTCTCCGTCACTTATGACTTTAAAACCTACTTGTGGAGTCTTCCCCAAGCATCATCCCAAAATTAATTTGGAAATTTCTCCAGACCCTATTTCCTCCCAGGAATCTACTTCTCCCTCCTTGCGTAGTTTTGTTTTCCCTGAAAGTGCTCCCTGTCTGAATTTGCAAGAACATTCCATGCCTTCTCCAAGATCTTCTTCTGGAAAGCAAACTAAAGATGTCAGTGATTTTTTAGTTTCAGAGTGGAGTCAGCCCAGCTCTTCGTCCCATAATATCTCTGCGATTGCCGATCTCCAGTTGAGTGCCATTGACTGGGACGGTACCTCGTTTAGTAATTCTCCAGCTGTTCAAAGGAACACTTTGTCTCAAGATTTACAGTCGGAACTTGAGTCATCAGCCATCCTTCCTGGCTCTGAAAATCACCCAGAACAATTGTCCTAGAAATCAGAACAATGCACCACAAACAAGGACGTGCTGGGTAGAGACCTTCAAAAGGCTAGTCCTGCAGAGCGCCTACTTCCTGCCATCGCTGGCTTACATCTTCATGATTTGCCTCTCAAGGAACGAATCCACATGAAATCCTCATGCCCTCAGTACAGTGTACAAGCAGAGGCTAACCTGGAAAGTTTGCACCTAAAAGTAAAAGGCTCTTGTGTTACTGACAGTAGCTCTGTTTGTTTATCAAATTTCTCAAAGGAATTTCCAGGAATACTGCACAAAGAGTCCAAAAACTTGAAAGGACTTGACAACGAACTCCTTCAAGGGAACTCTACAGTCAATGCTTCCATACCTGATTCTGAGAACAGAACAGTAGAGACCTCCAGTCTTCAAGCTGGGCTCTCAAATTCTGCTCTACCTCATAATCCAAAAGTTGTTGGGAAAACTGCTAAGAACCTTGTGAAGAATAGTGTTTGCCTCAAAAGAGATTCCTCAGATGACGAAAGTGCTCCAGTATCCTGGAAAACTAAGTGTACTGCTCCAAAACTGAAACCCAGTTCTCAGAAGCTCAGCCTAGCCCAGGTCAGAGACACACTCAGAAATCCTAAAGTCGATGCTGAAGAAACCAAACTCCATACAAAGACCTACTCCACAGCTGAAGATGGAGAAAACTGGTCTTCCGATCCAGCGAAAAGGACTCAAAGTTTTCTACACTGTCATGTAAAAGATGAGGGCTCTGCTGCCTGCTCGGAAAGTCCTCTCCCTTTATGCCAGAGGTTAAAACTCAGGCTCCAGAGCACTTCCAGTGGATTTTATCATACCTAAGTTTAATTCACTTGAACGTTGTCAGTGTTAGCAGAAGCCAGGCGGTGCAGTCCAGCTCATGTTGGGCAGAGAATGGACATGATTGTGTGCCGCTGTAATCAGTGTAATCTACAGTGTTAGGGGCCATGTGTGGCTCGTGTCTAATCACAGCACTTAGGAGGTTCATGGAGCCCCGAGATTGGGAGCTCAGTGTCATCCTCTGCTATATGGAGAGTTTTAGGCCAGTCTGAGTTGAGTTAGCTAAGGAAGAAAACAGTTAAAACTTTGATTGCAAAGTGGTTTTTTTTTTTTTTCGAAAAATTGTGATTTTGATTACAAAAGCTGATTGATTTTGATTATAGAAAAACTTTGATTACAAAATATGGTGACAGCTTCAAATATTGTATATTTTAGAGCATTTTACCATTCTTGAAATGTCCTTACTGATTATTATCTAGCTTTAACATATTAGTGTATTCTTTGATAGAGTAAATGCACTATCATTTTTATTTCTTCTTATGTAAGCTTCTAAAGCATTTGTTACAGTCTAGCTTATTCCCAAGAGGGTAACACATTGTAATTGTATTGTAGTGCCTTCTATTGGGCCTTCCTAATGACTGTATTTTCTCCTCATGCTAAAGCACCATTAGCATGTTCTTTCACTTTTAATAATGTCATGTTTGAGACATGAAAATGGAAAAAGAGGATGCTGTGGAGTAAAGTGTGTTTATAAAATCTGGGTAAGCAAAGCTGTTTCTTCCATGCATTCGGAAGTGCACGGGCACTGCAGGTGGAGAATGCTTCTATAACCAGGTATGAAACCAAAAGGATGACACAGGACACACACATAGGAAGAGTGTGAGTCCCGCCTTTGCTTTCTAGTTTGGATCTTATATTTCTGTTTGTCTGATTTGTTTTTAATGTACAAAACTGTTCCCTTTTGCTTTAAAATTAGTTTGTATGTTATATTGACTTTAGTCCCTACAGATACTGAGTCTTGCATAAATTGTACTAAAAAATTCTAGAAGCATCTGGATTTTAAAAGAAACAGCATAGCTGTTTGTAAGTGACCGGAGTCTGAAAGTAGACGATCTTAGCAATCCATTCAAACATATAATAATAATGATGATGATGATGATGATAAAACAGATTTGGTAACCACGTCTTTAATCCCAGCACTTGGAAGGCAGAGACAGGCAGATCTCTGAGTTCCAGACCATCCTGCTCTACAGAACAAGTTCCATGACAACTAGAACTGCTATACAGAGAAACCCTGTCTTGAAAAAAAAAAAGAAAGGAAGGAAGGAAGGAGAGAAAGAAAGTGAACATAATAAAGATGGCAAAGCTTAGAGTTAATAGTGAAAAACAGTGAATGAAAAGAAAAAGTCTAAAGAAAAAGACATCTCAAATTCTTGGATCAGAAGGTTTCGCATAGTGAGCCGTTTAAACTGCTCAGTTTTGCCAGGTGATGCTGGTGCACACTTTTAATCCCAGCACTCCTTGGGCAAAGGCAGACGGATCTCTGAGTCCCCGGACAGCCAAGGCTACACAGAGAAACCCTGTGTGGAAAAACAAACAAATGGTTTGGTTTCAATCCAGTCCCATGAATTCCATGCTTGTTTCCCCCAGAACATGGCAAGCTGATTTCACTACTCAGATAGAAATTTAACAAAATAACAAATCTTGTGAAAATTGGAGAATTCATCCTTCCTGCTGTCATAGTTTACTACCAAGCTGTATAATTTGTTGTACTGCTATAAGGGTAGAAGTGTGGATAAGTGTTAAATCAGTTGGACAGGCTCGAGACTAGAAATGTGCCCTCACATGTATGACCAATTGCTCTTTAACCAGTATGAAAATAGTTCAGTGGAGGAAAGTCTCAAATGCTGCTAGAACTTTTGGATGTTCCCATAAGAATGACATTTAATACCCTGCCTTTTTGTCTTTCCTTTTATAAGTACACTCAGTAGCAAAAGTACTCCTAGTAGATAAATTCTTCAAATGTCTACTGACCTATATTGGTAACCAGCAACATTTCAGATCTAGGGCTTGATGCATGCATGGATTGCCAGTTGTGGGGAGAGGGTGACAGTGACACTTGTCATCTGCTAGGTGCTAATACAATGCACACAACTAGGTCTATAATATCCTTGAGGCACAGCCAGATCATTACCAAATAGCCATGCAACTGGTGGACCGCAGAGGTAGGAATAGAATTGTCTGGTTTCGGGTTCCTGGTTCAGTCTGCCCCATTTTTGCTCTCTTAACCAAGAAGAGTGCAGAAATTACCTTATTTAGAATAGGTGGACCCTTGAGCGTGTGAGGCAGTGGTTATAAGACATTAGACAAGACTGGTATTTGCATGTTAGTAATGCTGGATAAGGAGAGAACATGCAGATTAGGTTCTCTTTCCTGTCCATGACTACCTCTGCTAGAAAGACTCTTAAGACTATTGAAGCTCTATATATTTTTCTAAGATGGAAACAAATGATCCTTTTTTTTTTTTTTTTTTAGCAGACTAGGTTTGCAGAGACATTCTAGATACTGCAGAGGTCCAGATCAGAAATGCAGCAGGAGCGAGTTCAGGTATGAGGGACCTCAAGGGAGAAAAGAGAGTTATGAAAAACTTAGGATAATTAACTGAGGGGTGCAGGTGTTCTACAGGTGGAACCCTATCGATCATTGCTCTGTAGGAGGGCAACATGCCTCCATTCAAGGCAGTTCCCACCTCTGCCCCAGGAAGAGAAGATTTGAACACTGGGTCAGTCTTCTTAGTGCTGGCCTTATCTCACCTGCCAATGGTCCAGGTTAGACAGATTCCAGTGAATACGAGTCAACCAAGAAAAGCAAGGCAAGCCATGGATGGCTTATCTTAGAACAATTCTTCCATGTCGTGGGAACTTCCATGGGACAAACTTGGTTGGCCTTAAGATCACTGTGGGTTCTTTCACTCTATTCCTAAGACACCACAGTCTACTGGGCAGAGAGGCATGTGTCAAAGGGACCTTAAAGGTAGTTATCACTCTGGCCTGTTCACACTGGCTAGCATGATGATCGAGGTAGATAATACAAGAGTGAAATCCTGGGGCTAGGGCCTTCTTGGGATCTACAAGAGCAGTCCTATGGAGGCATGATTGCCTTCGTATGTTTTAAGATGCAAAATGGATCAATGACTTGAGATCTAAAACTAGGAGAAAATAGGCTGAAGGCTAGAGATGGCTCAGCAAGTAAGAGTGCTTAACTGCTCTTGCAAAGAACTAGAATCAGTAATTCACAAGCACCTATAACTACAGGCCTAGGGGATCCAAAACTGACATCTTCAAGTACCTACACACATGTGCACACACCCATATATACATAATTTAAATTCTGAAAAGAGGCTAAAATCTTTGAGGGTTTTTTTTTCCTTTGGTTAGGCAAGGGCTTTTTAGGACATTGAGACACATGCATAAAATAACTGGATATTATCAAAATCTGTTTCAAATGACAATGAAAGTGATGAGAGTGTAATGAGGAAAAAAACATTTAAAAAAAATTATAGCTGTAAAGGACCTGTACAGAGAGCTGTTACAATTCAGTAGTAAAAGTAATTTTAAAAATAAGCAAAATACCTAAATTGACATTGCTCCAAAGAATATATAAAAAATTGGCCAATAAGCATATGAAAAATTTCTCAGTCATTATGTCAACTGGGAAAAGATGAACCCTCTGTGCCTCTCTCTCCCTCGCCATGTTCTCCCAGCTCCCCTGAGTGCAGCATTTATTAAACACGGGCATCTTAGTTTGGTGTCGTTTGCTTTGATTGGAATTCTTTGTGCCGGTGAAGAGGCTTTTCTCAACACTGAGGTTTTATGAAATGAAGGCAACAAAGTAGGTTAGGAATGGCTCATCTGGATTACTTATAAATCTTCTGTGGACATTGGTCTATACAGTCTGACACCAGCTTTCACTTCCTCTTCCTGGTGTCTTTTGTTGTCTGGGCTATTACTCAAATTCTTCTATTTGTAGTTCCCTGCTGATAGGCTCATGACACCTGTGCATAGACTTCCCTCATGAACTATTGTTTATACATGAGTCCATCTTTTTATTGGGTTGTCTATGAAAAAATATGCCTCTAGCTACCTGGGCCCTGGAAATTGGTTTCCTCCTCTTTCCTGTGTCCTAAGCCTGCTATGACATATCTACTATAGGTTTCCCGAGGTCAGTCTGATGTTCTTAGGGTGTTGGGTCCACAAGGCTGTTGCACAGTGATTGGGACAGACCACCACGTCTAATAAACCAGAAGCAAACTTTATTCCAGAAAAAAATAAAAATAAAAAAATACCGTGGGGCACAATAAGCTTATCAGCTAACTGAGACTTCAGCCAGAGATGGGTTTGTAAGGCTGTGGCAAAGGCCAGTTTCTGAACTCACCTTTTTATAGTAAGGGGCACCAAGCCTAAACAAGTCTGAACAAAGGAATTTTTACAATCTCGAGGTAAAATTCTGTTGAAATAAGAAGCGGCGGGGCTGCGTCCCCAACACCCCAGCCGCTTGGCTAGCTTATGCCCCGAAATAACAACACACAAACTGTATTCATTTAAGAACTGCTTGGCCCATGAACTCTAGCCCTTACAGGCTAATTCTCGCACTTGGACTAGCCCATTTCTATTTATGTGTGTAAGCACCCCAAGGTGCGCTTACCGGGAAGATTCTAGCCTAAGTCCATCATGGGTTGCAGCTGCCTGGGAGAGCAGAGCATGGCGGCTGTCCGGTCCCTCTGGAAGCAGCGCAGAGTCTGACCTCACTTCCTCTTCCTCCTGTTTTCTCCTCCCACCTATCTTTTAACCTATCAGGGCCAAGGAGTTCCTTTATTGCTTAACCAATGAAATCAACAGATTGATATATGACACTCCCACATCAAAATTCAGATACAGATTGCCTTACTTTAAAATCTTCATGAACAATTTTTCAGTTAAACTCATGTTTGTACTTAATCTGCTGTCCCCCTGATCTTTCCAGGTGGTGTTTACTGAAGCCCTGTGCTCTCCCCTTTGATGCTGCCAGTTTCATGTAGCAGGGATGATGCATAATCCAGAGGTCATGTATAGCCACCTCCTAAGAGTTAGTTTGCAGAGAGATGCTTCGGCCTTGAAAATGGAGCTAGGGGTTGTAAAGCGGAGTAACCCATTGTTACGAGTTAATCCTTAAGCTGTTGAGAACACTGCTGACAGTCTGCTCTCATTCTCCTAGGTTTACAACTTTAGGTTTCTTTATTTCTGCAATCTACATTTCTATATTCTTGTTCTTGGACCCTTCAAGGGTTCATTTTCCACAGTTCATATTAAGGGAGATTTCTTTTTGGGACGCGACAATGATAAATACTTTTTTTGTATATGTCTGGTTTCAAGGGCTTTTCTGCTACAGATTTCCCCAGGTAATTCCTTCCCTTTCTGAGGCTCATTGAAATATTTGTCACATCTGTTATGTAGCCGACATTGCTAGGCCCCAGAGATAGAATGATAAATGAATCCTGTAAGGCTGTTTTAATTTCTGTAAATTAACCGTCACCATTGGCACATTGGGGCACTTAATAAATGATAAACATCAGGTAGTATCATTTGGAAGAACACATAGATTTAATTTCAAGCTAAACAGAGCCCAAACATTGCCTCTGAGTAGTCCTCTGTTAGGGAGTGTGAGGTAGAAATACCTAGAAAAAGGAAGCTCACTGGGTTAGCATCCTAAAAAGGAAT